CCCGGGCACCACACCCCCCAACCCCCACTGTGTTCAGCACACTCAGCAAGCTGGGCACCAGGGTGCAGGCCCTGGAATGGCAAGCATTCTAGCACACCAAAGAACATAATAACAAAGACCAGGGCGATGCAAGCATTTAAAACACATTGAAGTGCAGCTGGGCATTGTATAGAGAAGGGGCAAGAGCAGGGAGCCTTGTTTGTGTTGACAGAGTGCCACGCACCTAGCTCCGTGCCCAAGCCTGGGGCCAGGCTGGGGATGTTTCTTTAAGGAGGCATGACAAGCAAGCTACTGTGCAAGAGTGGGAGGAAGGAAGGCCAGCGGCCGGGGTGAGATTGGGAATAGTGGGCAAAACTTCTAGGTTCTAGTACATTCTCAGCCCTGGTGGCTTTGCCCCTCTGAGCCTCTATTTCTCTGATAAAATAAGGCTTTGCATCTCAGGGAAGGACTTTGTCATCCTCAATGAGGCGGTCTAGCAGGATCAGGAGTGGGGGAGTGATACAGCCCGCAGCCAGGGAGCCGTGTGACTTTGTTGCTTCCCCTAAATCACCTGGCTTCTGAGGCTCTGTGCTGGACTGTGGGAAGGTCCCTGCAGAATACTATTTCTCCTTCCTCCTCCTCCTCCTCCTCCTCCTCCCTCTTCTTCTTCTTCTTCTTCTTTCTTCTTCTTCTTCTCCTTCTCCTTCTCCTTCTTTCTCCTTCTCCTTCTCCTTCTTTCTCCTTCTCCTTCTCCTTCTTTCTCCTTCTCCTTCTCCTTCTTTCTCCTTCTCCTTCTCCTTCTTTCTCCTTCTCCTTCTCCTTCTTTCTCCTTCTCCTTCTCCTTCTTTCTCCTTCTCCTTCTCCTTCTTTCTCCTTCTCCTTCTCCTTCTTTCTCCTTCTCCTTCTCCTTCTTTCTCCTTCTCCTTCTCCTTCTTTCTCCTTCTCCTTCTCCTTCTTCTTCTTCTTCTTCTTCTTCTTCTTTTTTTAAGGAACTTCCGTAGTAATGTAGCTGTCTGTATTAAAAGTAGAGATCAGGAAGCATTTGAGATCTTGCTTCCCAGCAACTGTCGTCAGTTTGGCTCAAATACAATCGTATAAAAATTCAAAAAATAAAAAGTAAAAGTAAAGATCAGAGTAGCATAGTGGGAAATAGAAGAGTAGGGCTAATTTAAGAAACACCTAGGAATTAAAATCAATGCCCAACGGGCATGGCTCAGTGGTTGAGCATCAACCTATGAACCAGGAGGTCATGGTTCGATTCCCGGTCAGGGCACATGCCTGAGTTGCAGGTTCGATCCCCAGCGGGGGTGTGCAGGAGGCAGACAATCAATGATTCTCTCTCATCATTGATGTCAGAATGCTGCTATTTCTAACACAGAAAAAGGACTGCCTTCAAGTCTCAGTTACATGGCACAGACAAATCCCCTTTCTTCCAGAAAAATTCCCCAGGGCCCTCTTTCTCAGGGGGATGACTCAGTGGATCCAGGCTAGCCTATGGTCCCCCTTCTCCCTCCACTGAGTAACAGATGCAGCTGACCCTCGTGACCCCACGGGAGTTATCAAAGGTCCCCACTCAGAACTTCCGAAGTCCCCCCGCCAGGGCCTGGAGAGCACCTGGCCCTTAAGAGCCACTTTGATTGAAGCCACAGTTTTGAGTTTTCATCTAAGACAGACATCTGGGTTGACTGAAAAGCTGGCCGCTGCCCCATCTGTCTTGGCACGGGCTGTGTCCACCCCACGGCCCCTCTGCTGGGGCAGCAGGGCTGGCTCCCAGCGTGAGGTTTGCATTGGTGGCGAGATCGCCTTTCCATCTGCTTGGCATGGGATGAGCTCCCCTCCCTGCATCTCCGGGGAGAGCTGGCTCTTGCTCTGCCCCTTCAAAGGATTCTGCAGCTTTCCCTCTTCCAAACAACCACCACCACCCTTTTCGGAACGCTCACCCTATGCGGGGCTCGGCACCGGCATGATCTCATCGAATTGTTACAACCACCTGCAAGCTAAGGCTCTGTATCCCGTCTGGCAGGTGAAGAAATGAAGTTCAGAGAAGGCTGGGGAACTTGTCCAAGGTCATGCAGTCAGGACAAGTGCAGCTAGGGTTCAAACACCACAGCGCGCCTGATTCTCAGCCGACCAAGGTCTCCCTAGCTCTTTTGGCGAGGCCCGGGCCTGCCTGAAGACAGCAAAAATCAGGACCCCAAACCATCATTTCACAGACAGGAGGGTGCACCCCGGGATTGGTTCATGACTCATGTGTGCATGAAGGACAACGTCCCTCAAGAAGACTGGGGTTGGATAGACAGGCTGGGCAGCAGCCTGCAGCCCAGGCCTAAGCGTTAACTCAGACGCACGGGGAAGTGTTGCAGTGAGAAGTGAGGAGGCTTGTTCCATGCGGCTCAGGAGGGCAAAGGCCGACGCGTGGATGTTTCTGGTAAGCAGAGCTCAACTCCAAACGGAGCGCAAGCAGCAGCGTATGAAAAACTGCAACTGGGACTTCTGGTCCAGACAGTGGAGCAGGTAAATGCTGTGCTCGCCTCCGCCCACGACCACATCAAAATTACAACTAAACCCCAGAACAACCACTTGCAGAACCATCTGAAGACGAGCCAAATGGAACTCCTATAACTGAGGGAATAAAGAAGAAGCCACATGGAGATGGAATTTTTTTAAAAAAAAAACTACAACTGCCCAGCAATATAATGGGGTGTGCCCAGAAGTCCTGAGCTCCCCGCCACGAGGAGTGTGCTTACCTTAGTAAGGCTTGTAGGAGTTGGGGAAGGAAATTGATTTTTGAGGGAATGGAGGCATATATATATATATATATATATCTGAAAATTTCTTTGAAACACTCAATATAAAGAAAGCTTGGGTTTGGCTTGGTTTTGTCAGGGCCCTTGCCCACGAGGAGTGTGCCAGGCACCGTCTGTGATGCCAGCCCCGTGGGGGTGGATGCGTGAGGGTGGTTTGGGCATGACACCGGGTTGGAGCAGAGAAACATGGGGCCGGTCACAGCAGCAATGTCATTATCGTCACCGTCATCGTTATTCGGA